ACGAACCATGAGATCATGACCTGAGCCAAAGTCAGATACTTAACGACTGAACCACGCAGCAGCCCCCAGGGCTTCTTGATTTGACTGTGGAAGGTAGAACTTTTGGGGTGGAATTTGTTACTTACTGGAAGAGAGCACATACGCGTGCGGGTGAGCAGGGGAGGGGCAGAGAGGGGGGAGAGAGAATCTTAAGCAGGCGCCCCACCCAGCGGAAGAGCTTGACCTGAGCTGAAATCGAGAATTGGACTCTTCACCAACTGAGCCACTGGGGTGGAGTGCACATGGAGCCCTGGGGTTTGCGAATTGGCTCTGGCAGGTGTCACTTGGGCAGAAGTGGGGTGGCTTCCTGGGCACATGGTGAGACTTTCTAAATTGTAGGTCTCATGGGTCAGAGGTGGCAGACTTCCTGATTTGGCTGAGAAGGGCGGGGATTCCTGGAGGTGTGGAAGGAGAGGACCCCTCCAGAGGTAAGTGGAGCTTCCCGAGTGGGTGGGACCTGCTCAGGCGTAGGATTTTATGACTGTGGGGGATGGACCTCCAGAGGGAAGGTGGGGCCTTCCTGGATGGTGGGTGGGGCTTTCTGAGCGTAAAGTTGAGCTTCCTAAAAGATAGGTGGGACTTCTTCGATTAAAATGGGTAGCTTCGGACTTCTGGAATGTATTCTCAAATGGAATTTGGGCTTTGTGTGCGGGGAAGAGGGAGTTCCTAAGTTGAGTAGGCAAGGCACGGAGTTTCCTGGTTTGGGTTTGAAACATGAGGCATTTAAAGTGACAGTGAGTGCTTGTAGTAGGTCTTAAGGTTGCTCGGTGAGTGGGACTTTTTGATCACGTGTTATTTATATTGGGTAGGTGACTTCCTGAGTGGAAGATGAGACTTCCTTTATTGGACATGGGACTTCTGAAAGCAGACAGAACATCTTAATCGGGGCTAGGACTCATAGGAAGGTAGACCCTCGCCCATTACCTGTTGAGGTAGAAGGAGAAGACGGGCTTATCCAGTAGCCCCTGGTCCACCAGTACATCCAGTGGGGGTCGGACCCCTCCCACGGCCAGAACGGGGAAAGCAAGGCCCAGTATCCCATCGAAGCGGGCAAGAGTGAACACCAGGCTGGACTCCCACAGAGCCTCTCCAAAAATCACTGATGCATTCATCATTCCTCCAATCTACGGATAGATTCAAATGGGGCAGGTTGCTTCTTGAAAGACATAACCTACATAACCCTGAAATGTTCCAAACCAAGGCATGAATCCCATATGGACACACCTGAAAACAGCCCCCAACCGTCTAGGAAGGATTGCTTCCCCACTTAGGAAGCCCACCCCTTTAACCAGTTAACCCCGCCCCCTTCATCCCTTTCCCCAGGAAGCCCTGCCTCCTAAGCCCCCTCCCTAAGCCAGATCCTCGCAGACGGTGGGGGTTCTCCCAGCCTCAAGTCTTCCTGGGGTCAGTGGTCACGCACAGTCAGCTTGTCCTCACTCAGGATGCCAGCTAGCCTCCCAGTTCCATACTGAATGGCAAACTTGGTCCCATTGGATTGGAAGGAGCTGGAGGCCTTGGGGTTGAAACGGTGGTGGAGCCCTAGGTCAGAAGATCAGGGAGGTGTCACTGGAGGAAGGGAGTCTCCCCAGTGGCCTCCTGCCTTTGTGAACTTGTGACCCGTGAGGGCATGTCAGAAGAGAACAGCACCTCAGAAATCCTCGGGAAGCCAAGACCCAGGCCCCACTTCTCCCATCACCCCTGTTCAGTCTCATCCTCCCCCATGAAAGCTCACAGCAGGGCAGGCTGAAGAAATGGCATCTTATGGACGGGACCCAGAGATTGGAGGAGCCAGTGTCAAAAACGACAGAGAAGTTTTGTGGGGGCGTTCCCAGTCCAATTTCCCCGTAATACTGGACCTGAGGGTCAAACGGAGAGAGGGTGAATGAAGGGTTTGACTTCTTAAGTGGGGAGGAGGGTGAGGACTCTCTGGGGCTGTGACTCACATTCATGTAGTTAGAGAGAGGTATGAAGGTGGGCTTGTCTCCAGGGGAGGGGGCCCCCAAAGCGGGGGTCGCTGCTGGCTTCCCCCATCCCCTCAGTGGGTTCAGAGTCCTGTGTCCAGTGTGCACGCGGCGGAGAGGGATCCTGTGGGGGCGGATACTGACACTTAGGAAATTACTCTTCCTGGAGACCCTCCATAAAGGAATCTCCCAAATAGGGTGGAACGACAAAGCAAACATCTCAATGGTCCTACAACAGCAGCCATTGTCAGAAACCCTGCAATAACAACCTTCCAGGAAACCCAACGGAATACCTATCAAACCATGATGACAAATCTCCCCAAAGACTCTGCAAGAGCGAACCAGCCCACCCCAAGCAGACTTTCCCCAAAGTCTTTCAATAAGGGCCATTTCAAAGAACATAACATAAGCCATCCTCGGGAACTCGACACTCACAAAGGCTTTCAAAGACCCCACCATGAAACTAGACTTGGCAAAAAACACTTGCATGCTTCACTTCATGATGTTGGAGACTATTTTCTTCACTGTTGGTGTGGGGGAGACTGTAAGCACCAAATCCCAGTTTCACTCTTTACACTAAAATACATGCCTTGGGGCACCTGGGTGGCTCAGTCGGTTAAGTGTCCGACTTGGGCTCGGATCATGATCTCGCGGTTCATGAGTTCGAGCCCCAGCATCGGGCTCTGTGCTGACAGCTCGGAGCCTGGAGCCTGCTTCAGATTCTGTGTCTCCCTCTCTCGCTGCTCCTCCCCCTCTCGTACTCTGTCTCTGTCTCTCTCAAAAATAAATGAACATTAAAAAGATAATAATAAAATACGTTGCAGATAATCAAAGATCTAATGTGAAATGTAACATAAGAGCACTAGAGAGAAGTAAAATGTTTACATAACTCTGGGAAGAGTAAGATTTTTCAAATCATGATACCAAGACCAGAAATCATTGGGGAGAGGATTGATGAATGTAACTCTAAAATTTTAAACCTTTGTACTCCCTTCCCCAACACACAAAGCTGTTTAAAACGTTTTCTAAAAATCTAAGGGAGGGGCGCCTGGGTGGCGCAGTCGGTTAAGCGTCCGACTTCAGCCAGGTCACGATCTCGCGGTCTGTGAGTTTGAGCCCCGCGTCAGGCTCTGGGCTGATGGCTCGGAGCCTGGAGCCTGTTTCCGATTCTGTGTCTCCCTCTCTCTCTGCCCCTCCCCCGTTCATGCTCTGTCTCTCTCTGTCCCAAAAATAAATAAAAACGTTGAAAAAAAATTAAAAAAAAAATAAATAAAATAAATAAAAATCTAAGGGAAATAATTACAAGTTGTATGTCAAAGAATTAATATATCTAATATGCAAAGAGCTTTTACAAGCAAATAAGAATAAGATAAACAACCCGGTGTTGGAAGACAATTCCCTCATGGTTCTCTCACATTTCTGCAGACAGACTGACTGCCCTTGTCAAGGATTTCATTTAGTGAACAGCCTTGGGGGAGAAACAGTGTCTCCCTCTGGGCCAAAGAGCACGCAGGTTTATGATCCATTGTGAAAGGTCCAGGTTCCCTAAACTTGGGGTTCCCCTCCTGTAATGCACCCTACTGCATGGGCAGATCTCAGCCAGCTCTCTTCATCTCGCCCTGTGGGAACTGGGGCTCAGAGAACTGATACTCTGGCTACTACTGTTGCCAAGAGTAATAACCTGTCCTTGTCTCTGACCCGGGGGTCTTGTGTCTTCTACAAGCAGCCACAAAACTGTGGCAAGCTAACATTACAGTTCTTGACATTTACCAGGATAATAAGCAAAGGACACAAACAGGTAATTTGCAGAAGTACAAACAGCTTCTAAACAAATAACATCTTTTTATGTTAGATGTCCAACCCCAAGAGTTGTCAAAAGAATACAAATGATGAGAGTCAGAAAACTTTTTTCGCCCTGTAGATTGGCAAAGACCTAAGAATACTCACCGTTGACTAGGGGCTATCGATTGATACCAACTTTCTGGAGGATGATTTGCCAGATGTGTATCATTGGGCTTAAAATTGTGCACACCTTTTTTTGGGGGGAGGGGCAGAGAGAGAGAGATGGGGACAAAGGACCCAAAGCGAGCTCCATGATGACAGCAGCTGACAGCAGTGAGCCCGAGGTGGGGCTCAAACTCAGGAACTGAGAGATCACGACAGGAGAGGAAGTCAGACGTTCAACCCACTGAGCCCTTACACGCCTTTTAACCCAACTTCACTTCAGCTCAATGAGTTTCATCCACAGGAGATCACTGGACAGGTGCACAAAGCTGTGTCTGTGAGGATGTGTCTAATTTTGAAGACGGGACCGGCTAGCTAGGACTTGGCTCTGCAGAATGGAACTCCCCCAGCCTCTGTTGCAACGGCTCGGCTCCGTCTGTATAGCACAAAATCAGCCCTAGACAACGTGGCTGGGTTTTGTTAAACTTCGTTCGCAAAAAAACAGGCGGCAGGTTGAATTTGGCCCCAGGTTGAGAGTTTGCCAGCCCCTGCCCCAGAGCTGAGATTCAGAACTTGTAGTTTCTAATGAATTAGGTCTGAGATGGAGCCTGAAGGTTTGCATTTCTAACAAGTTCCTGGGTCCCGAGGATGCTGTTGGCCCTGAAACAACGCTGAAGAGAATCACTGCCCTTTGTGCTGGCTGGGGAAATGGCCGTGATCTATTAGGTTCAAGAAGCAGGTTAGCAAACATCGCGTGCAGGGATATTCACGTACCTGCCTAAAATCAGTCCTTGGAGCCCTGCCCCCTCACTCACTTCTTTGCCACCCCCCACCCCACCCCCGCCATGACTCAATCTTTGAGAGGCTCAAGAACGTCAAGTGGGGGAAATGTTTCCTGGAAGAGGACCCCTCCCTGCCCCCCCCCCCCCCCCCCCCGTTCCAGGGGATGGGAGAAGAGAGGAGAAGTAAGAGATTGGGGTGGGAGGCACCAGAGGCTAGGTGAGTGAGGGATCCCTGGAGTCCCCCAAACTGGGCTTCTTGAGACCTAAACAGTCTGGGAGATGTGAAGCTGGGGGAGTCAGAGTTCTGAGTCTCCAAGATCTGTTGGGTTGGGGGCCAGGGGAGTTGCATGTCTGGAAACCCCAGTACCAGATCATCAGAGCTCAGGGTGGGATCTCCCAAAAACTTGTTTGGAGAGGGGGGGGAAGGAGGAGTCCTCGGTTGAGGGTCTCAGGATTGGAGGACCTTGGACCGAAAGGGCTGTGTGTCCTCTTAGGACACATCAGGGCAGAAGCCCCCCACCCTGGGAGAGGGGAGGGCGGCGAGAGCCCAATTTGGAGGTCTGGGAACCCAAGAGATAGAAGTCACGGGTCCTGGGGTGCCAGCTTTGGGAGTCACTGAACTTGGGGGCCCCAGTCTTGAAGGGCAAAAGGGGGAGAGTCCATCCCAGGTTCGCGGTATGGGGTCCCCAGTACCGGATCAGCGAGGCGCTGGCAGGCTCCACAGTCAGCAGCAGCAGCCACCACAGCAGCAGCGTCGGTAGCGGAGACATCTCTGGGGACCCGAGTGTTGACCCATCCGTTTTCTTTCCTCAGAGACTCCGCCCTTGTTCACCGCCCACCTCCGGGTTTCTGAGGTGACCGGGGAGGTGAAGTCTCTCTGTGGGTGAGGGGGGACAGGAGCGGGAAGCGGGTGGTGTATTTTGAGGGACGTGCGGAGTATTTTTGTAGGGACACCAGAAATGTCAACTTGTGTCACTGGTCGCCTCACTCCCGACTTCAGCGAGGGGACAGGGACGGTCTCCCGCGGCCCCCACCCCACTTCTAATCCTGTGGCTGCTGTTGCTTTGTTTACCACTTTCACTTCACTTTTCCGGGAGTCATTAACCACAAGGTTTCCTTGGGCAGGTGCAGGGATGGGCGGATGTTGCGAAGGATCTGGGGGAAGGGAGAGAGGGTCAGACTAGAGGAGCTCCTTCCCCCGGTAACTGGGCAAAGAGCATAAAAATATTTGACAATGTCTCTCTGGGTCTCATTGTGCCCTTTTTTCATTGACTAAGTTTCTCAAATATTAAATGGGCATCCGAATGTCTAGTTAAAATGCAGATTCCTGGGCACCACGCTCAGAGATTCTGGTTCCCAAGGCCCGAGATAGAGCCCAAGAATCTGCATTCTTTTTTTTCCTTTTTTTTAATATATGAAAGTTATTGTCAAATTAGTTTCCATACAGCACCCAGTGCTCATCCCAAGAATCTGCATTCTTAAACAAACGCACTGATCATGGAGCTACAAACATTTCTGAGAAACAATTTGAGGTCTTTGGTTTTCTAGCTTAGATTTACATGTCAATAATCAGCTTGTCGTTTTTTTAATTTAAACATTTTTTTAAAGTTGGGCACCTGGGCGGCTCAGTCGGTTAAGTGTCCGACTTCGGTTCAGGTCATGACCTTGCAGTCCGTGAGTTCGAGCCCCGCGTTGCGCTCTGTGCTGACAGCTCAGAGCCTGGAGCCTGCTTCACATTCTGTGTCTCCCTCTCTCTCTGTCCCTCCTCCGCTCAAAAATAAATATTTATTTATTTAATAAATAATTTATTATTTATTC